CCCCATTTCAGGAGGGATGTGGACAACATTGAAAGGGTCCAGAGGAGGGCCACCCGCATGATCCAGGGACAACAGGGCAGACCCTACACTGAAAGACTGCGGGACCTAAACCTGTTCAGCCTTCACAAGAGAAGGCTGAGGGGGGACCTGGTGACTGTCTATAAACTCACTAGGGGGGACCAGAAGGGTTTAGGGGAGACACTGTTTCCCCTAGCGCCCCCTGGCATGACAAGGAACAATGGACACAAATTATTAGATAGTAGGTTTAGATTAGACATCTGCAAGAACTACTTCACAGTTAGGACGGCTAGGAGCTGGAACCAACTTCCTAGGGAAGTGGTGCTGGCTCCTACCCTGGGGATCTTTAAGAAGAGGCTTGATGCCTACCTGGCTGGACTCATTTGAGTCCAGTCTTTTCTCTCGCCCAGGCGGGGGGTTGGACTTGAAGATCTACAAGGTCCCTTCCGACCTTACTTCTATGATGATATGATTCTATGAACTCAGTCCTGTGGTTTCAACTAAAACAACACAAAAACAGGCAACAGCTCTTAACAAAGAAATCTCCCACACTGGGCCTATACCATCCTGTAAGCTTTACTCCTACTTTGGGCTCTCCTCTTCTTGCTGTCATGGTCCTTTCCTTTTGGGACTGCATGCTCTGTTCCTGGAAGGTAGAACCTAGTTTAAAGCCTGCTAACTAGATTGGCCAGATAATACCCAAAAATGCTCTTTCCCATTCTTGTCAGATGAATTCCATCTCTTGATAACGGTCCTCCTCCCAAGAACATCTGCCCATTGTCAAAGACATCAGAGCCTTCACGTCAACACCACCATCTCAGCCACGCATTCCTTCCAGTATACAACGGTCTCTGCTTGCACCCCATGGGAAGAATCAATGAGAATACCACTTGTGCTCTAAACCCCTTAATCCTCCTGCCAAGAGCCTCCTAGTCACTCTAATCTGCTTGGTGTCATTCCTGGAAGTGTCAGTGCCTACATGGACAAGCAGGAAAGGCTAGTGGTCCTGCTCTGGTACTCTGTGACATCGTCAGTTCAGGCTCCAGGAAAGCAGCACACCTCCTGGGCCCCCAAACTGGGATGACAAAGTAGTGCCTCTGTTCCCCACAGAAGGGAGTCACCAGCCACACCACTCTTCTCTTCCTTCTTGGTGCATTGGTTCTAGAGGCCCTGTCTTTAGGGCCTTGAACTTCCTGCTCTCTAGGCTGCTGCCTCCTCTGCCTCTTCCTCAGCAGTTCCACTGCAGAGTGCTGAAAAGCAGTTGCTGACTTCAAACCACTCCTCTTCAGTTCTGGGGGCCCTCTTTCATCAAGTAGTCTCATGCTGCCATTTCTCCTCACTGCCCTTTGGCCTCTCCAGTACTAGGTTCCATTTGTGTCTCCTTTGCTCCCTCGAGAACATCTATGCTGTAAGGAGAAAAAAAGAGGGGTGGGGAAGAGAGAAAGGACATGCCACATGAACCTGCACACCAAGCACCTGCACCAGGTCCCTTGCCTAAGTGTACACACACATGCATAGAGTCTCCTGCTCCCTGGCTCCCCCCGGGACAAATTCCTTAAGCAAACTCCCTCTCTGTTTGCTGCCCTCGGTTCTCTGCTCTTACCGTTTGCTAATGGCTGTCTAGCCACGGCTCAACTACCTAAACCAACCCCACTCAGAGCAAGCCCCATCACTTACCTACTCCATAAGGAAAGAGTCACACACCATTGGGGAAGGACCCCAAAAACATACACCAGACATTAGGCAAACACTCCAGCCATGAACGACACATGCCCCCAGAGGCTGGCAGGGTACGGCGAAGCATCGCCCCTTCCCCCACCTCTCGTACCTGTAAGCTTCTTCCACGCTGCGCCGGGCAGAGGGAGAAGTCCGCGTTACGCATGCGCACCCGCCTCGCTTGTCGCTGCCTAGCGATATGGTCCCGACGGTCCCCCCGTTGCCTGGTTACGCTCCCTGGCACACACCGGAAGTAGCGTGATGGGGTGAAACGTCGCTTCCGGGTGCGCTGTTGCATCAGACTGGACGCAACCCTGACGGGAGGAGTAGAGAGGATGGCTGGTGCTGGCGGGGAACACAGTGAGTGCCGGCTCCCGGGCGGGTGCGGCCCCTTTAAGGCCGCTGGGGTCGGTGGGGGAGGGGCGTGGGCCCAGTCCAGTCCAGTCCGTCATAGCCCCGTGCCGTGATGTCACCCACCGTTGTGCTGTGATGCCGTGATGTCAGAGCGGTGCCCGATGACGTCACTATGCCCCTAGCCCTTGGTCTTGTGCTGTGGCAGGTGTCTTTGCACCCTTCATGGAGCAGCGGAGTGCTGTGTAGTGCCGCACATGGCTCCTCGGCCCTTGGGGAGCACGTCCCAGTGTGACGCCAGGTTGTTGAGAACTGTCCATGTTGTGGTGGTGTGGGTGTGGGACCCAGGAGGACCTGTCTGCGTGGGGGCCTCGGTCTGCGCCTCGGGAGTGCCCAGAGAAAGGACCCTGGCAGTGGGATGTGACAACTGGGTGTTTAGCTCAGCACAGTACATTAGACAGGGCTCTGTCTGTTCCCTCTTCTGCAGGACCCAGTTTATCTTCTGTGAGGGTCACCTGGCTCTGCTGCTCTCCAGCACTATATAAGTAACGAGTACTGAGACACAAAGGCTTGTCGATGACTAGGGCTGTGTAATCAATGCAATGTTTCGATTTCAAACGCGTGAGTGTTAGGGTGCCCAGCTGTCAGTTGTGCCTTAAACTATGCCAGTATTACAGCAGGCTAGAAAAGATGGCATCAGTTACTTTCCTTCTTGTTCACCGAAGGTAGCATGTCTACAAGGAGCAGGTTTTTACTGATGGGCTCCACAAGTTTTAAGAATTAGTGCAGAACTGGGTCAAAGGCACAGATTTGGCACACTTGGCTGTGTTCAGCATTTCAACTTTGTTAGGGGCTGGAAAGGACCTTACAGATCTTCCCCGTACTTGGCAGGAAAGACTTCTGGGATCAGATGACAAAGGGACTGAATGACAATCTGCAGTCCAGACCCTCTACTCTACATAGTAGTTTTATCCAAATTAATAGGTAGAAACATTGTTTTTGTTCTGTGAACAACTAGTCTCCACCCTTTGTACCACAGTTCCGGGATTGTGTTAATTCCTAAGAATGTGGAAGCAGGACTAACTAAAAGTGAAACTGCCAGCAATGGAACTAGGAAATATCAGGCTGCTAACACTGAGGAAAGGTCAGATTTAGTATATAGAAATAGACTGAAAAATTGTGAGAATTTTTAAAAAGATATTTTGCATCTCTTGACAACTACTGTCCAATATTTGTTTACCTGAAAGAAGTAGCTTTCGTTGGGCAACTTAATTACTGTCAGTGGATCATTCCAATCAGATGACTTAACATCCTGTGTTGCACAGCATGCCTGTGACATTGCTATTGTTCACCTATTGAGCAGAATCCACCTGTCATGTTGAATTAGATCAAGTTGTTTGGGTTTTTCCAGTGCCAACATTATTCTACTAGAGAATTAGGTTTTTAAAAATTTGAATCAAATTTGGAGTTTTTTATTGTTGTTCTGGCAAGGTTCTTTGAGTAGATGTGTGATATATTTTATTAGACCGAGTAGTTGGAAGAAAGTTCTTGGCAAGCTCTCAGGCGCAGTCACCCTTCTTCTCTGCTGATATGAGACACCAAGGAATGAGAGAAGCTAAAAATGTCACAGGATGCCAGTGAGAATGTAAATAGGTAGAAATTAGAGAAAAAGGCAAAGCAGTAAGGGAGGGGAAAGAAAGCAGGGGATGGGGGGAAGGCCAAAGGGAAACATTACAGTGATAGAATACAAGGTAGAACAAAGCGGTTGTTCTTATTTTTTGGTAACGTTTATTATTTAGTTCAAATCTGAAGTGATTTCTGAAGCAGGGGGAAGAAAGTTTATGAGACATGGCAGTGTCATCATCAGTATACTGCCCTTCTGACATTCCTTGATCTTTCTAAACAGTCATCAAATTGTAATGACTGGGTATGTCTACAGTGCAGTCCCTGCTATGAATTCTATATAGTGTAGACAGGCCCAGGATAACTTTACGTAGTCTGCTCCACTTGCATTCATATTGGATAAGTTCATGCTTTGCTTCAATTTGTTCAAGCTAATTTGCATCATCACTGAACCTCACATAGAGGTGAGAGACTCTTTAACAGCTAAGACCTGCCTGCCCAGAGGAATTTTCCTGTGAAATCCTATGAAATACGAACTTTCATTTCTACTGGGGAGAACTTTTACAATCTTTTCTCTAATGCCTGATGAAGGGAGTTTGCCTGAAAGCTTGCAGTTAATTTTTTTTTCCCCCAAAAATCTCATTGGTCTAATAAAAGATATCACCTCTCCCATGAGTCCAGATTGATTGGCTTAACTGCATTACACCAGTCCTGGTCTTCCACCTATTTCTTACACTATAACAAACATTTATCTGCATGCTGGTTAAAAGTATGTAGATCTTTCAAATTCATTACCTCTTGCTGTCCCATTCTACATTATACTGCTTTAAATACACAATTGATGATCCTGATTTAGAGCCATCAATGTCAAAGCTTCTGAAGCACCTTGATGGGACCTGTCAATTTCAAGGCTGCCCTTAAAGGCATCCTGAGAAACAAGATTGTGAGCCTTAAGGAGAGATGAAAAAGTGTGGGTTGCTTCTGTAGCTAAAGAGCTTTATTTGCACTGTACAGGGAAGCGCTTCCCAAACTATTTTCCAGTATGACCCTATTTTAACACTTGAAATTGCATACAACCCCAAAAGCCAACCAAAGCAAAATAGCAATCAAGCAATGTATTAACTAACGATAAATGTGTCATTATTAAAAGTTTGAATATTGTATGACAACATATAGAACAGCATATATGTTTGTCAATCTGTTTTAAAGATGTTTTGTTGCTTGTTCGGAGACAGTCAAGGCCTTCTTAAACTGCACTTGTTTCCATGAAAGATTCTCTTTTCAGCGCTGAAAAAATGACCGTGTTTTCCTGAGGTATTCCTTGTGAACACTTTCCAGGTGTTGTTTAAGCTTATTTGTACAGCTTCATGCTTTCCCTAAACAGCACGTTGAAACATAGGTATTTAGGTCTTTCTTCAGTCTTGTCAAAAACTCTTGTGAAGCCATACTCAAGGAAAACCTTATTGTATTTGCAAACCCATTTCTTATTTTCTTGTTTCTCATTTGCAGCCGAGTCAGTGGGTCACTGCTTGAGGAGGCTGCTCTGTGTAAAAAATTGTCCATGGTGTTATTGGTAACAATTTACCATTAATTATCACTGACTCTCACTTTCACAAGTTGTGTAGGCGTGGGGGGTTCTATTGAAAGACATTTCTCACTTTGACAGCAGATGTAACTGGAACAAAACTGCAAACCCTTGAAATCAATACTCAGAACATGTGAGCAGGTCTTATCAGTAACAGAGATCACATAGCAATATGATTGGTGGAGATCTGTTGGGCTCTCTTCCAACTGTAAGCGCAGTTTGCTTGTGCATATGTTGTCACGTTTTGTCCTTGCTTTGCATTACCATAACTTGAAGTCTGAAAGCATAAATGTAATTTTATTTATTGCAACCCCATCCACTGATGTTGTAGCCCCATTTGGGGTTGTGACACACAGTTTGGGAACTGCTGGCATAGGGAGAAATGTATACTCCACATTAGTACACAGCTTTTTTCCAGCCCGAAGGCTGTGCTCTTAAATACGGTAAGATGTCCTAAGTACAGTGGGTACCAGTAGCAGCCTAACCAGGACATTGTGAAACTCAGCAGTTGAGAAGCTGAGTCCCTATACTCCCCATGTACTGAGTTCTGTAGGACTGGGCTAGACTCCCCCAGCAAATTAGTTTAAAGCTAGCTTTGGTATATTTATACCTACTGTATGCAGTGTGGTCACAGTGGAGTGACTGCAATGAAGACACAGCCAGTTTCATTACAATTAACAATTGTAATTTGTGTTGAATTTGGGCTGAATTTGAACGAGTGAGCACACAGCAAAAGAATATTTCCTGTTACTAGTCCTCATAGTCATCTAATTTCCCTTATAAGTTATACTTTAAATATATCAATATACCCCTCTTACTAACAGGTATAATGCCAAATCATATCTTTTCAAAGATTTAATTTATATCCCTATAGCCTGCCATAGCTCTGTTAGCTGTTATATATACTGGTGCAGGGTAATGAGTGCTGAACTTGAAAAGCAGCATTTGCTTCTGCTCCTTCAGAGGAATGCATGCGCTTTTGTGTTGGCTGACAACTTCTGTGTAAATTATACAACTTCCTTTTCAAAATGATTTCAGTGTGTGGATGAAGAATTTCATTACTCAGACCTCCCAAATCTCATTTAAGTGTTAAAGTGATTTGTTAATAAAAGGTTTGTGACTGTAGTAAGGCTTGCCCAGAAGAGCATTTCCTTCCTTAGCAAATACCTTGTAAAATGAGTTCTTCTTATAAGAAGCATATTTTTCCTTAATCTTTTCAAGGTATGCTATGCATGAGCAGTCCAGCTGGCCATTCAGAATCACAAAATAGATCTGCTAGCTTAAATCTCATATTAATGAAATACACGTTTCAAATTTGTGAGTGTCTATTTCTATCGGTGAGAAAAATAAAGATTGAAATATTTACAAACCTAAAATCTGTAGAGTTAAATTCATTTTATGGGTCAAATATTAATCCCATGTGAACCACATGTTAATTTGTTTCTTTCTATTCCTTATTTACCAAGAATAACAAATTTATTGATTTACATTGGTGGGAGGTTTTTTTTAGACTTCTCATTAATCTAAGCGTTTGACTTGCTATATTTATTTGAATCCAAGAGGGTTCCCTGCCACATTCAACATGGGTGGAGGAAGACATTTTGTCTTAGATTTGAGTATGGCCCAGGGAAAAGTGGCTGCAGTGGCTTTGGCAACTCTGACTCCAACCTGGGAAAAATTGTTTGGTATAGGAAGGGGAGGAGAGGAGCAAACATGGGGGGATTTGTGTGGTGGCAGAGAAGCTGCTGCAGGGCTGGAGCTGCCATCACCACTGCTGCCTAGCCACTACTTTGTGCTCTGGGCTGAAGCTGGAGTCAGAGCTGCTGCATAAGGTAAACCATTAGGAGTGGGGCAAGTGGCAAGGGGGCAGGCTCGGGGAGAGGCAAGTGGCAGTTGTGTCAGGCACCAGGGAGGACAGATGGTCAGGGGATCAGGCACCCAAGGGGAAGAGAGGGAGCAGGGAATACTCTGCTTCCCCCACTGCTGCTGCTTTCCCTGCTGCAGTGGTGCAGGGGACGAACTTATGACAGCCCTCCAAGAATTATTCTACATGTGGAAAATTATAACAATCTTCCATGTATAGAATCTAACTATTGGGAGGTCATCTTAAATATGAAGTGGTCTTAGTTTTGGGTAAATACAGTATTTAAGTATACAAAGGAACTGGCATAACTTTAGACGTTTCTATGCTGATTTGATTAATTTTGCTGAACTTTAACATTTCCCATCATTAGCTTGCAATTATGTTTTAAAGGGTCAAATAAAACTAAAATTGGTCTCTACTGGTATGTGTATGCCATTTCGTATTTCCATGTTCTCTGGGAGGAGGCAGGTTGTAAGCAGAAGTCCATTCAGTATTACACCTATTAATTGATATAATTGACTAATATATCATTTTTTTCCTTTGTGTTTCAAATGAAAGCAAGGGAAGGAATCATAGGCAGTGTGTGGGGACTGTTTAGCAGTAGAATTATTCCATTACATTTAAACAGTGATTTATTTCCCTTTGGGAAATAGGCTACTCTGAAAAATCAGTCTCAACTAGTTATGCTTGCGCATATTTAGGGAAAAAAAAGTTATATTTCTGCAAAATACCTGTGTGGTTTTGCAATTATTGTTTCCTCCCCCCCCAAAACTGTTATGCTCTGACAATAGATTTAATGGTTTAGAAACCAGCAGCGTAGAACAAGATTAACATATTGCCTCAGAGGTTTAAAAAAACATGGTTCACTGGGATTTGAAAGCAGGAACATTCTAATCTTGACACTACTTTATTACGTGTTAGTTAATGATCAAAATATTGTGTGAACATGGAAAGGATGGAATCCTGAACTGTTTATAGAAAAAGTTAATGCTATATGCTAATGTTATATGCACAGATTCCATAACTTCCATTTCCTGCAGTGCTGTATACATGGTACCTTATAATTAGTCTCAGCACTTGCAAGTGTCATAAAACTCCTTTTCCTTGGAAGATGGCGTGCTTTTTAGAAATAAATGGATACTTGGTACTTGTAAAGCTCATGTCTGCTTTGTATACACAGAACTGTGAAGTCAGAGGATCAAAGAAGGGGTATGCATCTCTTCTGTCCATTAGTGCAACTATTCATAAGAATACCTATTGCAAGTAGGCACCCTATAGAATATGTATAGGGACCATAGAGATTATAGCTTCACCACTGTAAGATAAGCATTCTGGAGCAATCAGAGGGAAAGTGGGTATCAAACAAGGATCGTACACACAGACTCCAGTCCTGCAAAGATTAATGCACATGCTTAACTTCATATGCTGTGAGTAATCCCATTATACTTAATGGCCATGGTACATGATGCTAAGTCATGTAAGTCTTTGCAGGGCCAGAATTTCTTTGCTCAGAGAGAATAATACTGATTAGGCCCAGGATGGAAGATTCTTTACAACTGCTAATAAATTATCCCTTCTCCCCCATGGAAAAAAGCAAGTTCTGTACCTTAGCATAGGTCCCTTGCAGTGATTTTTTTTTTCTCCCAGAAATTTATCATGGGGGAAAATAGCCTTTATAATAGCTTCTAACAGTTTTTTATGAATGTTTGTTACATCGGATCAACTATTTTTTAAAATATTTTTTCCTCAAATTTGCTGTCTATTTATAGTGGAAACCTAGAAGGGGAATAAAGTAATTAAAATTATTAGTTTGGGGAAAATCTATTTGGTCATACAATACCTTTCTTTTATTTTAATTCTTATTCTGTACCTCTGTCTTTACAGCTTTCAACTACAGTTTTATTCTCAGCATTAGTGAAGAGGAAGCCAGGGTGAAGGCTTTGCACGAGTACCTCAGCACTCGTAGTTATATCCAGGGGTTCACTTTTTCACATGCAGATGTGGAAGTATTCCGAAAAATTTCAGGCCCACCAGTGGACCAGTATTTCCATGTTGTCCGGTGGTACAGGCACATAGAAGCAATCTATGATGGCAGCAACGACAATATTGAGTCTTGTAAACTACAAACAAGTGAGTAATGACATAGAATTGGTGGACAGGTTACAGATGAGTAGGTATTTTATTTATTGATTGCCAAAAACTTTAATAAGTGCCTCTGTCATACTCTGGGTACTTTTACACAATTTAAAAACTTACAGTATCAAAACACTATTCAAAATATATATGGCAGACTGTACACACCTCCATTAATCAGCCCACCAGCAAGCATAAAATGAACACTGAGGGCAGCAGGGTGGGGCTGTGCCCCTCAAAGCACTGGCATGAGCAGGGGGTGCACTGCCAGGGCAGTGCAGGGTGAGAAACAATGAGGTTTTTTGTGGGGCTCCTCCGCTTCCTGCAGGAGTCGGTTGTGGGAAGGGAGCAGAATGACAGGGAACAGTGGCAAGCAGCCGCAGACCCATTGTACCCTGCTGCCCTGCTTCCCTCCCCTGCGACCTGACACGGTTGGGAACAGTGGGGCTGCTCAGGGATCTCCTAGCGGCTGCTCACCCCACGCTGCCCTGGCGACACTCATCCTGTGCATGGGGCTACACTGAGGGAAGTGGCAGCATGCATGGGAGGTACATCTCCAGGACAGCTGGGGGGCAAGGAGATTCCCACGCAGCCCTGCTGTTCCTAGCCATAACGAGTCATACCTGTGGGGCTGCAGAGGCCCCGTGGGAGGGAAGCAAGGTGGGAGCTCAAGGCCACAGCTTTCCCCACACACAGATCTGGAGCACATGGGTCCCCTCTGACAGTGGAAGACATGGAGTGCCTGGCCGGATGCATATGGACTGCAAGCAACACTCTGGGCCCTTAAGGGAAACTGCACATGGAGGCACTGAGCCTGGTCAGGCCAATGGCACTGCTGGCAGTCCATGTACTGCCAGCTGGGCACTCCATGTGGTTCACCAACACCTCCCTGCTCCCTCAGCCCCCAGCCAGCTTCCCCCCCAGCCCCCTGCAAGCCCCAGTTACCTGCCTTACAGGCTCCAGCAGGAAAGTGAGCCAAAGTAAGCCTTAGGACTAAGAGCCTCAGGCCCCACCCTTCCCCCTCTCCCTCCACCTCCGGGCAGGGTTGGAGGTTTCCGGCCCCTTTTGCAATCAGCCCATGTAGGTTGGAACTCAGCCAGCCTGCAGAGCTCTTTGCAAAAGGGGGAAATCCTCAGCTTTCTTTGCTAAAAGGAAAAATCCACGTTTTTCTCTGTTTAAAAACAGGAAATCTGTGGTTTCCTCCATTTTTGCGTGAGAAATGGAAAACCCGGATCCCTGGTGATCAAGCAGCAGCATGGGTCAGGAGGTGGAGAAGCAGTGTGCTTGGGGATGGGGCATCAGCACGTGCTGCTGCCCTGTCCCCTGACCTGCACTGCTGCTGCTTTTTCTCCTAATCCACACAGCAACCGCTTAGAAACATGAGTCAGGGTGGGGCAGAAGTGCAAGTTAGGGGATGCAGCAGCGGTGCGTTAGGAGGTGGGACAGCAGTGCACCCTGCTGACTGGGCAGCAGGACCTGTGGGGGCTCAGGCAGGGGATAGGACAGCAACACGAATGGGGGATCAGGTGGCAGCAAGGGTTGGGGATTGGGGGAGGGGAACAAGCCAGGAGGCATGGGGATGGGTGATAAGTAGCAAGGGTGCAGGCATGAGGGGACGAGTGGTGGGGGAGCAAGGTTCAGGGGTCATGATGCCTTCCCTCACCTATGGTTGGGGACAAATTTAAAACAACCCTCCAGTGATTAGACTTTATACATGGAAAATTAAACATTTATAATTTTTTATTTATATTATTTAGTTATTGGGAGTCATCTTAAATTCTTATTTGTCTTGGATTAAGATAAATACAGTAGTAAAGTTCTATAGTGGACCCAGGTATTATGTAGCTTAGTTGATGGATGCAGAGCTATTTGAAATATTAAGTCTGTTTGCTTATTTGCTTGCTTAGTTTATTTGTTTAGTTGTACTTTAAAGAGAAACTTATGGTACAGGAATTAACCACAGGAAAAGTAGCAAGGATAGCAGAATATCAACTTGGCTTGGCAGGTTGCTCTTCAGTGAACTAAAACACAAAAAAAGGAAGCTTACAAGAAATGAAAACTTGAACAAATGACTAGGAAGGAGTATAAATAAGAGTATTGTTTGGGTATGTGGAGATGAAATCATGAAGGCCAAAGTGCAACTGGAGTTGCAGCCACCTGGGGACATGAAGGGTAACAAGAAGGGTTTCTATAAGTATGTCAGCAACAAGAGGAAGATCAGGGAAAGTGTGGGTGGCTTACTGAATGGGGGAGGCAACCTAGTAACATGATGGGGAAAAGGCTGAATGCCTGTTTTACCTCAGTATTCACAGGCAGGGTTAGGTACCAAACTACTGCATCTGTCAGCACAGTTCAGGGAGGAGGTGAGCAGTCAACAGTGGCAAAAGAAAAGGTTAGGGACCGTTTTAAGAAGCTGGGCACGTACAAGTGCATGGGGCTGGACGCAGTGCACCTGAGGGTGCCAAGGGAGTTGTCCGATGTAATTGCAAAGCCACTGGTTGTTATCTTTGAAAACTCATGACAATCAGGAGAGGTCCCAAATGATTGGAAAAGGGCAAATATAGTGTCCATCTTTAAGAAAGAGAAGGAGGAGGATCTGGGGAACTACATACCAGTCAGCTTCACCTCAGTCCCCAAAAAAATCATGGAGCAGGTCCTCAAATAATCCATTTCTAAGCACTTGCAGAAGAAGGTGATTAGGAAAATTCAGCAGGGATGCACCAAGGGCAAGTTATGTCTGACCAACCTGATTGCCTTCTGTGATGAGACGACTGGTTTGGTGGATACAGGGAAAGCAGTGGATGTGATATACCTTGACTTTAGCAGACTTTCAGTATGGTCACACACAACATTCTTGCAACCTGAGGAAGAATGGGTTGAATGAATGGATAGAAAATTGACTGGATTGTGGGGCACAAAGGGTAATAATCAATGGCTCAATGTCTAGTGGGCAGACGATATCAAGTGGAGTGCCCCAGGGATCAGTCCTAGGGCTGATTTTGTTCTATGTCTTCATCAACAATCTGGAAGGTGGAATGGAGTGCACCTTCAGCAAATTTGCAGATGGCTCCAAGCTGAGTGGAGTAGTAAATATGCTGGAGGGTAGGGCTTGGATTCAGAGACCTAGACAGATTTCAGGATTGGATTAAAAGAATCTCATGAAGTTCAGTAAGGACAAGTACAAAGTCCTGCACTTGGGACAGAACAATTATATTTGCTGGTACAGACTGGGGACTGACTGGCTAAGCAGAAGCTCTGCAAAAAATGACCTGAGGGTTACAGTGGACAGTAAGCTGAATACGACACAACAGTGTGCCCTTGTTGTGGAGAAGTTTAACAGCATAGCGGGCTGCATTAGTAAGAGTGTTGCAGCAGATCGAGAGAAGTCATTCTTCCACTCTGTTTGGCACTGGTAAGGCCACATCTGGAGTACTGTGTCCAGTTTTGGGCTGCCCATTACAGAAAGGATGTGTACAAATTGGAGAAAGTCCAGTGGAGGGTAAGAAAAATGGTTAAAGGGCTGGGGCACATGACTTAATGAGCACATGACTACACAAGACACTGACCACACAAGTAGCCTGGTACTACTGTGCAGTAGCATTGCATGGCAAAAACTGTGCCAAGACGCTGCTGCACAGTAGTGTTAGGCTACTGGGCAGTAGCATCACTTAAAAAGCATTTGCTGGTGCTGCTGCGCAGTAGATCTGTGCGAATAGGGAAGTATTGGATTCGGATTCAGCCAATTCAGAGGACAGTGATTTGATTTGGAGATTCAGATTGCTGTCTTGAATCGATTTGGCTGAATCAGCTTCAGAAGATTAGGCACTGATTCGGAGACATTTGGTGATTTGGATCAGCTGGGCAGAGGCAGGCATAGCCGGTGGCTCCTCCAGCTGTGCCTGCCCCTCCCCATGCAGGAGGAGCCAAGGGAGAAGCCCCCACAGCTGCCCTGCCTGGTCCCAGCCCCAGCTTAGTCCCAGCACTCAAAAAAAAGCCCTGCTCTCACTGGCTGCAGGAACAGCAACTGGGGCTGCTGGGTACTCGTAGCAGAGCCCACTCCCCCTGCGCAGCGTGGGGCAGTGGGGATGCCCCCCCCCCCCC